GATAATGCTTATCCTACCCCAATGGGACTGTAGCATAAATCATTTAAAGAGCCTTGTGCTGCCACTAGGCTGCTTCCTACCCCACCCTACCCCTCAGCTGGGCGGTGGTCTGTACAGGTGGACCGCGAGGCTCACCTTCTTGCAGAAGTGGTATAGGTGGAGCAGAGTCTCCAGGTCTGTGCGTTGCCGCTCAGCGGCCATGTAGAAGTGGGTCAGCTTCGCCTGGAAGGCCCGCTGCGTGGAGGCAAAGGCTGCCAACTCTGGGAACTCTGTTCCCCCTGCCTCGCCGGCCCCGCCGACTGCAGCTCCCAGATGGGCCGCCTGCTTGGACAGCGCCAGGCCTCGACGGTACTGGGCCTGAGCGAGGAAGGAGGGGTGTCCACTCAGCTCCCACCTTGGCTGAGGTCTCCCTCAGAGTCAGGAACTTCCCACAGCCCCACCGCTGAGTTATGAGACTTCCTGAGCCTCAGTTTCGTCATCTACACGAGGGGGTCGAGGCCTTTGCCTCGCTGGGACTCTGCTTCTGGAAAACTTCCCTGACCCCAAAGTCTTTGTGTTCCCCACAGTTCTCTCTTTCTGTTTCCCCGTTGGTCCTCCGCCTCCATCCCCCATGGCCTTCAGAGTTCTGTGAGGAATTCTGAGACGAGTCGTCTTTGAACGTGGCGGCCCCTGAACGCTTGCTGAAGGAGACAGCGTCTAAGCTGAACCCTTTATGATGCGAGCCGGTCTCCTCACTGTCTCTGGAAGTCCCCTTGCGCCTTCCCACCCCCACGCCGTGGCCCCAGCAGTGCCGCCCTCTCTACTGCCCTCTCCATCTGCTCCGATCCTGCTCCTCTGTTCTAGGAACGCACTGCAGCCTGAAGAAAGAAGTCCTCGAACTCAGCGTGGGCTTTCTCCACCGTCTCCAAGCTTCCGTCTTTGGGGGTCAGCGCTTGTAGGCACCGGCTTCCTTCCTGCTCCATCCAGTTGCTGACCTGGGGCAGGGGAGGGAGGCTCGGACATGAGGGCCTGTTGGGTAGATGTCCCTTGGCCCACTCCTCGACTTCCTCGGAGGCTGAGGTCTTCCTGCCCTCAGTCACTCAGTGGCAGGGACGGAAACCCTCCCATTTTGGGGGAGGAAGAGAGACAGCGTGGGGAGGGGAAGTGCATGGTCATATTCTTTACATATCCCAAGGGGAGAGGGTTTGGGGATGGAACTCCAGAGGGCATCTGGTCTGGCCTGCGCCCTGCACATAGCAGGCCCCCAGGGCACACTTGTCTGAATGAAGTCACAGGGCAGCAAATTTCAGCTCATTCTAACCACTCAGTGCTGCCCGGTCATAAAAGGGACAGTCTCGCGAGTGATGAGCTTCCTGTCCCTGACTGCCCTCTGCAGAGGAAAGTGCATGGGCCCGCTATGAGCTCACCACGTGAACTGGGCAAGGTGTTTTTCCTTTCTGGGCCTCAGTGAGGGACAGCGGGGGTAACATGGTTCTCGATCCCATGAACAGAAGCCTCCTTCTTATTCTGGGGTGTCTTAAAGAGCATATATTCACTCACTTTATTCCTGCAAAGCCCAGTGTGAATTATCCTCCCATTTAACAGAGGGGGAAACCAAGGCACTGAATAGTAAATAATTTGTCTAGGGTCACGCTGCTGATAAGGGCCAGAGGCAGGATTGGAACACAAGCCGTCCAGCTGCAGAGTTCACTGTGCTCCACAGCCCCACGCCTGGAGGGACGCATTGTTTTAGGCATCAGCAGTCGGTTGAAGAGCCAGGTGTAGGCTCCAAGATCAGACCCCCAGGTGTGCAACCATGGGCAGGTGACATATGTCTCCCAGCCTCGGTTCCCTCATCTGCGAGTGAGAGAAATCCTAGCATCGTCCCCACATCACTGGTAAGTGATGAGGTTGGGAGAAGATGATGTGCACAAAGGCTCTGGCCCAGGGCTTGGCCCAGGGTGTTTAGTAAGCGCAGCTTTGGGGGTTCGATCTTCATCCATTAAGAACTTACTGAGTGTCACGTCATGTGCCATGTCCCAAGGATGCCCACTTAACTCTCGGAGAATGGCCAACCTGTGTCCTTACACTAGAACAAGTTCCTGGCCAGGCCTGGAGCAGGGCCTGCCCTGTGGAGGTGGCCAGGCAGAAGTCCCCCACATGCCCCGGGCCAGCCTTCCCTCTCACCTGGTGGATGGCAGCTTCAAGGCGGCCCAGGCGGACACAGAGCTCCAACCTTCCCAGGAGGTGGTTGGATGTGGTGACCAGGACATGCAGCTGCTCATCCACAAGGCTATAGAGGGCGGTGGCTTCAGCCAGATGGCTCCTGGGAGGTAGAGGAGAGTGGGTGGGGACCAGGACGCACCCACCCCCAGCACTCCTGCCTGGCATAGGTCTGCCCCTTCAAACCCCCAGCAGTCCTGGGTATTCTAGCTGCTGACTTGCTGTGTGAGCTTGGGCAAGTCCCTACACCTCTCTGGGCCTCAACCTTGGCCTTCCATGGGACTGAGAGAACCAGGGGACACAGCAGGGAACCAAATGAACACCCCCTTACCTAGATGGGCATGCACTGAGCAGATCCCGGTTCAAATCCTAGCCCTGCTACCTGCTAGTAGTGAGATCTTGTGCAAATTTTGCAACCTTTCTGTGCCTCCATCTATCTATCTATCTATCTATTTATTTATTTATTTATTTATTTATTTATTTATTTACCTCCCACTTCACAGAGTGCTTGCAAAAATTAAATGATCTAACGTCTTGGTTCTCAAACCCAGTTGCACATTAGAACATGCTCTGGGAGCTTTGAAGATCTCGATGTCCAGGCCACCCCCAGGCTGACTGAGTCAAGTCTGAGTGCAGCCTGGACATCGGTGCTTTCTTAAGCTCCTCAGGAAGCTCCAGGGGCAGCCGGGGCTGGGAACCAATCAATCCTCATGCAGTCTGACCACTTAACATAGGGCCCGGCACACGGTATTGGCGCTTGTTATTTCTACGGCAGTGATAGTGAGCAGCCGTAACAACCCCTCCACCACCACGTCCACTTTACAGATGGGAAAACTGAAATCCAGAGAGAGGAACTGACTCTCAAGCATGGCAGTCTGAATTGGAACCCAGCCAGTGGCTGCACGTAATTTTTTTTTTTAAATTTAGGTCAAAGCCAGCAAGACATAAATGAAGGGTTGTAAATAGGATCCAAGCATCGTAACACTTGGGTGAAAGGAGGAATCCCCGGGCTTTTCCGACACCCTTCAAATCCCACTGCATCCTTCTCTGCCCCGGGAAGGGGTCTTACTTCAGAAGGAAAAGGAAAAAGAGCAGATAGAAGGAAAGCCTGCTTGCTTGGGGGGAGCATGGCTCTGGGCCTCCCCATCTGACTGCCGTTCCCCACAGGTCACTGCCCCTCCAGGTGAGGCCCCAGGGTACATGAACAGGATGGAAAATGCCAGCCTGCCCGGTGGAGGGAGGGAATAAGGGGCAGTAGGCCGGAGCTACAGACCCATCTGCAGAACAAGCTTGGAGACTCACATGGGACCACAGCGCTCCCTGGTGGAGCTGCCAGAGGCCAACGGCCAATGGTCTGGAGGGGCCACCAGTGAGTGAGTGGACAAGAGAGGCCTGGCACCCAGGTGGAACGACATGCTGGGAATGACAGTGCCAGCCCCGCCAAGGTGTGAGGGGCAGAGAAATGACTCTACACCTGGCACCACTGCTGCCCGGTGCTCACATTGACATGATTCTGTGGGCACGGCTCAGGGTGGTGTGTTCCAGATTCTGGGCCAGGCTGCCTGGCTCAAGTCTCGGCCCCACCGCATCCCAGCTGTGTGACCCTGGGCTAGGCACTTAACCTCTCTCTGAGCCTCGGGCTCCTCCACTGTAAAATGAAGATTTTGCTAGGATCCACCTCATGGGTGAGAATTAAACATTTGTAAAGCCCTTAAAACAATGTTGTGCTCATACCATGTGCTATTTAAGCTTTGGTTAAATAAACAAATAGTCCTTAGATGCCTTTGCAAACTTTGGAACTGTGTTTGTTTTGTCAGAGATAAAATATTTCCAATTACCAACTGATTTAATTCCTATATTATTTCTTCTGTGACTCTGAAACCCCCTGACAGGCTGTGAGGTTCTTCCAGCCAGACTCAGCTTGGTGTCTGGGTCAGAGAAAGTGCTTGGTCCGTGAGGGTCTCAATTCTCACTCTCCCTTTACAAACTTCCAGGGCTCCCCGCACCCAGATCACACTTGACTCCCCCAGTTTGGTATTCAGGGTCTTACAGAAATGGGCAGGTCTGTCCTCCAATACCCTCCCCAGCCTGAAGAAGGTGGGGGCTGAAGGAGGGCAGCAGAGAACGGACAGGCCTAGCCGAGGATATGAACCCTGCAAACATCCGCATCCCGGGCATCTGTGGGGCCCGCTCTATGTGTCTCTAGCTCCGAGCTCCCAGGCCAGCAGACAGGGTGGAGGCGAGAGGGGAAAAGCCTGGGTGTCCATACCTGACATCCGGGTTGAAGTCCAGCCTGCTGGCCTCCTGCTGCAGCCTGGCCAGGGTGGCTCCGCCTTCCCGCTGGAGGCCCAGCAGGCCTGGGTCCCTCAGCACAGCTTCCATCAGCAACTTGGACTTGTTCAGACACCTGGAGGCCTCCTTCCAGTGTAGGGAGGTGGCCTGAGACCCAATCCCCACTCTCCCTCTATAATCTTCCAGGGCTCCCCACACCCATATCGCACTTGACTCCCTCAGTTTGGCATTTAAGGCCCTACAGAAGGTCTATCTTTCTTATCTCTAAAGCATCTCCTCAAGCCACTCCTCTCATTGCCATGGCAACCTCACTGGTCCAAGTGCCATCATCTCTTGCAGGGACACCTATCTCCACCTTTTCATTGGTCTTCCTGCTGCACTCGGGCTCCCCCTGCAGTCTGTTCCCTATATGGAAACTGAAAGAAGCTCAAAATGTAAATTTGATCAACCCCCTCTCCCCCTTAAAACTCTCCAGCGGCTTCCCTGCCCTCTTAGAATGAAATCCCAACCCAAATCCTCCTTGATACAGCTTCTGCTGGATCCAGATGATCCTCTTTATCCTCAGCCTCCATCCCCACCCCAACTCACTCTGTTTCACACTGGCCTCTATGCTATTCCCGAACGCATCAAGCATAATCCCACCTCAGGGCCTTTGCACGTGCTTGCCCTTCAGCTGGAGCCCAATCCCCCTCCTATTCCTATGCTAGCTCCTTCTCATCCCTTAGGCTTCAATTTAAATACCATCTCTTCAGGGAGACCCTTCCTCCTTCCCCATTATTCTCAATCTTACTTTCATGGCATTCGGCACAATTTGTAACTGCATGTCCATTTCTTCATTTGATTTTTTAACAACTACCTCTACCACTGTGCTGTGAACCCCACAAGGGCAGGGACAAGTCAGTTTGCCCCAGGCTGTGTCTCTGGGTGCACATAGCGAGTGCCTAATAAATATGTCAAATGAATGAGTGAAAAACAGGGATGATCATGCCCACCCTGGCTGTCTCCTTCATTGAGCCCTTGGTCCATGGAATCTGGGGGGATGTGGCTTTCCCACCCCATGCTCTTGGCTCACCTGTGGCCCTCCAGGGGGGTCACCCTTCTCAAATTCCTTGATGAAAGCCTGCAGGAGGGAAGAGGCCCGGCGGAGGTCGGCAAGGAAAGGGTCTGACTTCTGCAGGATGGAAGGCCAGAGTGGGGGTGTCAGCCTGGACCACCGAGGAGGGCACCTCCCCCACCCAGGAGGACGCAGGGGGAGCATTAGGTGGTGGCTCTCAAATGTTAGCTGCATCAGAATCACCCAGAGAGCTGCTTAATATCCAGACTGCTGAGCCCTACTCCTGTGTTTCTGACTTAGTTCCTCTGAGGTGGGGCCTGAGAATGTACATTCGTAACAAGTTCCCAGGTGATGCTGACACTGCGGGTCCAAGAACCACAGCTTGAGAACCACTGGTGCTGGGAACGAGAGAGGGAAAAGAAAGACAGGCCTGAGCTATCTCCAAGCCAGTGGGGATACCTTGGGGGAGGAGCAGAAAGGGGGACTCAGAGGGTGGCGGTGAGGGAACATCCTCTGCTGGGTCCCACTTCAGCCCAGCTCCACCACTTACTTGCTGTGAGGCCTTGGGCAAGTTACTTAACCTCTCTGTGCCTCTGCTTCTTCCTCGGTAAAATGGATCACAGTAGTTCCTACCTTATAGGGTTGTGGAAGGATTAAATGGGTTCGTTGGTACAAGGCACTTAGAATAGCACCCAGCGCATAGTGTTAGCCATTACTGTTGCCGGTTTTATATGCTGGATCTATAGGTAAGATTTCATTTAAAGGGAAAAGTTTATAACAAAAATGTTAATTGGAGGCCTCTGGAGAAGGGAACTGGGGGTCTGGGAGCAAGTAGGAAAGGAGACATTTCAGTATATACCCTTTTATACCATTTGAGTTTTGAACATACTGCCTATTTTAAAACAGATATGATTTTTGAAAATAAGACCACCATGTTATAGGCTGTCAGTACAGTGATTCCCAATAGGGAGTGATTTTGCCCCTCCCCCCACCAGGATATTGGTAAGGTCTGGAAACACTGGAAACATTTTAGTTGTCATAATTTGTGTGGTGGGCAAAGGCCAGGCATGACGCAAATCGTGCTACAATGCACAAGACAGCTCTCAAACAGAAAGGAAGGGTCTGGCCCAAAATGTGAATGGTGCTGAGGACAAGCAGCCCTGGTCTAGAGAAAGCCCGGGGGGCAAGGGCACTGGTGGGCATGGTTCCAGGGCGGTTTAAGCCAATAATCCGTGCTGTTGCTTGAGCCACTCCGTCCTGTGTGTTCTCACGTGTTAAACTGGGCATGAGATGCCCCCTCGCAGGCTGTGGGAAGGAGGGACTGAGAAGACACAGGAAAGGAGCCCAGCGCTGGCAGTTTCCTTATTTCCTCCCTCTTACAAGAGGGAGCACGTCTGCCTCCGCCACCAGACCTTGAGCTCCTGAGGTGTGGGGGTCCACAGAGCAGATGTCTGTACATTTATTTTCAGTTAACATAGACACAGCTCTTAGCACGTGCCAGGCAGTCTTCTAAGCAATTTACCCACATTACTTCAATTACTGCTTACGATAGCCCCCTGAGTGGATACTATTTTTACCCCTTCATTTTATAAATGAGGAAAAAGACTCAGAGAAGATATATAACTTACCCAAGGCCACACAGAAGAGATGGGATTGGAACCCAGGCAGTCAGGCCCCAGAGCCTGAGCTCTCAATTGCTTCACTCTGCACCCTCATTATAAACGTTTGTCGAATGACTGGTATTGAACCTTATGGCGTGGACGGATCCATGGGGCGGGAGAGGGAATGAGGGTACGGGGTAAAGGCTATGACGGTAGACACCTGGAAGAATTGCACCCACTCGCTGTGGCAGTAGGGAAAAGGGCCTTCCAGGGCTGCGGGCAGCTGGCCGGGATCCACGTGGTGGCTGAGAGTCTTCAAAGAGGTCAGCACCTCAACCTGCAGACAAAACAAGCAAGTCAGGAGAACCAGGGAATTCGGTGTGGGAACAGATGTTGCAGAAGGTCCTGCCCGTGATCGCAGCCCCAGGACTACCCCGCCTCCTACAGGTAAGTCTGGCCCCGGCTTTCGGAGTTGCTTTCTTGGCAATGGATCTTCCCTGCGAATTCTGAAAATTCAAAATTTAGAACCAGCCCCTGGGTAAGGATGGCAAATAAACAGCCTAGCCTATGCCCAAGGCAGACATCATTAATCAATCACAGCACTCGATCCCCTGATCCCCTGAGCTTCACTCTGTACCAGCCCAGCTCTCCAGGCAGTCGCACAGATTGGTTGAAGCTGGCCCTTGTCGATTACAACTTCTTTGTAACCCTTATACTGTTCTCTGATGACTCACCAAGGTGCTGTCTCCTCCTTGAGGCTGTTAAGAAAGGTCATCAAATCCTAACAGTATCCCCTAAGAGAGTGGTCCCCAACCTTTTTGGCACCAGGAACTGGTGCTCCTATGAGAATCTAATGCCTGATGATCTGAGGTGACTCTGAGGCAGTCATGCTAGCGCTAAGGAGCGGCTGCAAATACAGATGAAGCTTTGCTTGCTTGCCTGCCGCTCATCTCCTGCTGTGTGGCCCAGATCCTCACAGACCACAGACCGGGACTGGTCTACGGCTCGGGGAATGGGAACCCCTGCCCTAAGCCATGGAGGAGAGATTAGGTGACTGCTTCTCCCAGTCAGTGAAATTTGAGGTTTATGCTACAAACAGCTCCAGATGTCTAAGCTTGGGATCCGGTGGGGCCCACTAATTATCCCTGGTACTCAAAGTGTGGTTCACAGACCAGCAGTATCAGCATCACCTAGGAGCATGTTAGGATGGAATCCTAAGCTCCATCCAGAACAAATTAATTAGAATCTGCGCTTTGATGAGATCCCCACGTGACTTGTAGGTACACTAAAGCTTGAAAAGCACATCTCTAGGTCATATACACTAAAGCCTGAAAAGCACATCTCTAGGTCACATGCCTCGTCACTAACCAGGAGGAAGAAGGAGGCCTTTAAAATCATTTCCTGGTGCCCACATTCATGATTATTGTACACGGCATTAATTAAAGGGAGCTGCCGGGCTCCTTTCTGCAAAGTCCCAAGTCAACTCTGCATCTGAATTGGAGATGCTGAGAGAAACTAGGGAGAGAAATACAGGAAGGTCAGGTAGAAAAGGCACCTCTGCCTCCTGCTTGCTGTGTGGCCTCGAGTCTCAGTTTCCCCACCTGAAAAACAAGGAGGGAGGGGTTGACTAGATGAAGCTTTTCAGACAGGTTGCATGTCACGTGCAGCTCTCAGTCACGTGGTGGTGTCTATCAGGCATTGATAGGATTGCCAGAGAGAAATAATTCTGTGGCTGATTTGGCAATGCCTGCCATGGGGACAAGGCCAACGAGTCATAGCATCTGGGCCTTGTATTTCCTGACCAACACTACACTATTTCAGAGCCTCTCCTAGATCGTGACTTGTGTACTTCTTCACCCCAGCTCAGCAAAAGCCCAACATCTTCTCTCCACCTTGGCCGGCGCTGCCTCCTTCTCACCTGAACGTCAGGTAATGTCTCCAGTGGGATAGCAGTCTCCTTCTCCCCCAGGAAGAGCATGGCACGGATGGAGGTTGGGTCCAGAGCCTGTCAGAGAAAACCATATCAGAGCTGCTCTGCTCAGGCCTTTGCTGTGCCTCTGAGCCTCCCCACTAAGGCGCCAGCAAATGGGCCACGGGGACAAGGCAGGGGGTTCCCAAGGCTGGGACCTTTGTATGGTATATTTGGAGGGTAAAACATTGGCTCTCAAGAGAGAAGCAGGTCCAAGCCATGCGGCAAATTTCCTAGATGACCCGCCGCCTCTGGGCCTATAGATTTCCCCATCTATATAGTGAAGAGGAGAGGTGAGCATATACTGGGCCTAGATGACCCGCCGCCTCTGGGCCTATAGATTTCCCCATCTATATAGTGAAGAGGAGAGGTGAGCATATACTGAACTTCAATTTGCTCTGCTGCCCATACCAGCTAGTTAGGAATCTCTTCCTTCCCCTGTTCTCAGTTCATGAGGGTCATGTGACCTAAGTCTAAGCCAGTCAGTGTGTCACATTCCCCTGAACCAATTGGGGCTAAGGAGACACAAAGAAACTTTTGCTGGGACCTCTGCGGAAAGAATCTCTCATTCTTTCTTACTGGACTTGAATGAAAGACCATGTGCAGTTAGAGCCAGACTGCCACCAAAAGGGGGGCCTGGCTGAGAAAGAGGGTCACCCTCCCAGGAGAATGGGGCCGTAAATGGAGAGAGAAGAACTAGATCTTGGTGACAATATTTGAGCCCCCCAATCAAGCCTTACTCAAAGTTGGCTTCAACTCCTGGACTGTCAAGTCACATTAACTTTGTCTTTAAGCCTGTTTGGGCTGGGGTTTCTGCTAGCTGCAGCTACGAGACCCCGCCTGGGAGCCCTGGACCCAGCTCTGAGCTCCCCGGGTTTCACGAATATCAGAAGGCCTCTGTTGCTCCCAAGACTGGTTAGGCTGATGCTCTCCACCTCCTACTCACCTGGATGGCCTGCAGGGCACTGACCAGCCCAGGGTGTGGAGGCTGCTTCCTGGCATCGATCACAACCGCCAGCCCCTTTGTTTTATCTTCTGGCCTGTGGGTGGTAAACAGAATTGACAGTCTTGCTGGATGGACCAGGCTTTCCAGCGGAAAGGACCTAGTGGAAGGCAAGGAAAACTGGCTGCTGGAAGCCTTGATTATTTCGTGGACTCTTCATCCTATAAGACCAAAATCCAATGTCCCTCCCTCAAAGAAGCCCTCCATGATTCTTCTGCAGAACCAATTGCTCCCTCTTCAGTGCTCCCACAGTACTTTGCACAGCCCTCTCTTACACCCTAACAATTATAAACTATAAGCCACTCTCCCAGTTGCAGTGGGTGAGTCACTCAGCATTCACCCACCCCTTTTGTGCGGACAGAACTCTCATTTTGTTCAAGAATCCCACTTCTTCCATATTACCATGGCCCCCTCACCCCCAGGGGCTAGTTTATGATTGGTTGAGACCAACAGGGACCCAATTCCTCTGATTGGCTTAGATAGGGGTCATGTGACATTTCTGGCCAATGAGATGTGAAGGAAAGTTTGGTGGGGGACTTCTGGAAAAGACAGTCTGTCTTTATAAAGTTCTTACAAAGAGCTGTAAGGCAGAGACATAGAATGATAAATTGCCTTGTCAGATAAGACATTTCGAATTGGAATTTGTTAATTGAAACCAAAACACCTTCACTGGTTCACTGCGCACTTTTCAGTGATTACCTTAGGATTTCCCAAACTGGCCAGTTGTCAGAACTTGTTAAAATACTGATCCCTCACCCTCACCTCCACCCCATAACTGTCCCCCGCCCCCCATACACACACATCTGGCTGGCAGGTAAGGTGTGGGGCCAGGGAGTCTATGTGCTTTCAACTGCCCTCGGCCATTCTGACGATCAAGCAGGTTGGGAAAATAACCCCAACTGTCTTCAAACCTCACAACTAGTCAGTTCACAGACGAAAGCAGAGGTGGCCAGCATGAGGGTGGAGTTGTGGCCCTGCTGTCCTATCTGGTCACCTGGGTAAGTTCTTTCATCTCTCTGGGAGTCCATTTCCCATCTGCAAGTGGGGATAATACTCGTGCCAGCCTCCTGGCACTGTGGTGAGGACCAATCAATTCATTACTGTAAAGCACTCAGTAAGAGGGATATAAATGTTTGCTATTATTACTATTCTCCAAGAGGAAACTGAGGCACAGAGTGGCAATGTAGCTGTGAGAGGAGGCTCTCAGAAGTGACACCAGGTCTCTAACTTCATGTCCCACACCTCGCCTGCCACTGGCTATGCCCATGCTAGGAGAATGGTTTGTTACACGCCTGCCTCCACCACCAGCCTGGAGGCCCCTAAAGCACAGGACCCAATGTGAGGAGAATCTGGGTCTCTAGAATGTCCCAGTACGAAGCTGGGCCCAGAGCAGGTGCCAGCAATTCTGGTTCAAAGCAGGAGGCAAGCCCAGCACACAGGAACCTCATGCACACCACACTCCATGGTTTATGCTGCACTTCACACCCATCTCTTGTGACCACAGTTGGATCTAAGAGCCCACCTGGTAATCCCCCTTTAGTCAGGTGAACCTCAGAGAAGGGAAGTTACCACCCAAGGTCACACAGCAAGTCAGTGAGATTCCAGCATTTTGTCTATCACGCTGGCCACTTCTCAGCACAGAAAAGGGGGTCCCATCTCCCTGTCAGGCCAGAAAAACCACTCAGCCTTGGAAAAGAGGAATAACAATTACTGGCCAGCAGGTGGCAGTGATGGCTCCAATGGGATGAGTTACGTGGAGAAGGTTCCAAAGGGTTCCATCAGTCCCTCCTCCCTCTAACCCCAGCAGCAGGATCTCTAGGTTGGAGTGGGGTCTATAACCATAGTCTCAAGCAAAAACCACTTCTGAGACCACTCTGGCTGGGGCTGGGACTCAGAGGAAAAGATGGTGCCTCTTCTCCAGCCAATCCAACAGGAAGTCTGAATGGGGGTGGGGGTGGGGGTGTTAGAAATCAGCCTGGGTCACTCATTATTCATTCACTCACTCATTTACCCTTCTTTTGTTCAACAAATATTTATGATTCAGATGCCAGCTCAATTGTCACCTCCTCAGGGAAGCCTCCCATGATGTCCCAATTGGAATTAGTATCCCCGCCCTTCTCACTCTACAACGTGGTTCTCAAAAGGTGGTCTGCATTCCAGCAGCATCAGTATCACCTGGAAACTTGCTAGACATGCAAATTCTCAGGTCCCACCCCAGACCTACTGAATCAGAAACTCTGGGGGTGAGGCCCGGATCTATTTTAAGAGCCCTTCAGGAGAGTCTGATGCATGCTAAAGTTTGAGAACCCTGTTTTCATCACCACACTAACAACCCCTTAGAATTGCTTGTCCACGGTTTGTTTCTTGCACACCATCTGTGTCCCTCACCAGCCTGAAAACCCCCAGTGGTGGGGACTGAGCATGTCCTGCTCTCCCTCCAGCGTCTGGCTTGGGACTGGCTCTGGGGACAGATAATTGGATGGAAGGATACAGTGTCACTTCACTTGGTGCCTGGTCCTGGGCTCAGAGGTCAGAGGGGATGGAGTGGCCAGCTGGCCCAGCTTCTTACCTGGGGACAGTGCACAGGTAGGAGAGCAACTTGGTGACCTCTGAGACCGTGCACCACGGTGCTTCCCAGGCCTCCTGGGTGGTCGACACCAGAAGCAGCGGCCGCCCCACCTTGTCCCGACCTCCTGGAGGAGAGGGAACACACGTGCACAGTGAGAACTTTGGTAGCACTCTCTGTCCAAGAAACCTGCTCTGTGGCTTCCGGGCCTCTGCCTGAAATGCCCTTTCTCTCCTCCCTCTGTGAACGCTGAACTCTTATTCATCCATCCTCCAAGATCCCACTGAAAATCCACTTCCACAGAAAGTCATCCCTGAATCCCTCTATGCAGAGGTGTGGCCTTGGCCTCCTCAGGACCTGTCTGTCCTGGACACCCTAGGCAGTAAAGTTCATGGAATGAGCTTTGGGGTCACGCAGATACCTGTTCTCCCACAGCCCCCTGTATGGCCACAATTTTTTTACACTGAGTTGTCATAACCTGTTGAATTTTCTCTGCCACTAGAATGTAGACTTCCTGATAACAGGGAATACATCAGACTTGTTTCCT